TCCTGACTGTCCACCAGGAAGATTGCAAAGCCTGGCTGCCCCCGCACTTGGAAGTAAAGGAGGTCTCCAGAATGTGCAGCTTAACAAGTTATTTATAATAAGTCTAAGTCAAGTGTCAAGTTAACAGTATCCAAGTCTAGTCTTTTTTTTAAATAGATGCAGCCTGCAGGTTTTCCAGTTCTCGCCTGTTTATTTCTGTTTTATCTGATTGTATGCATTTATTTTCTGTCACACCTTGCCTGCTATGCAAATGTCATCTCTGGTAATTGTTACCTGGGTCTGACTCCTGTGTACCACCTTGCATTTTACATACAAACAGGCTGCTTTCAGATCTGAGACCTGTGACTTGAATTGTCTTAACAAATGGTTCCTTAGTGCTGGACTTGCAAGCAAATGTGTGGCCTGTGTTTTTATAACCATCACAGGAACGAGGATTTCTGTGAGCTTGGATACACAGCCAAAACAGATCCTGATGGGTGCCCTTTAAAACATTTACTGTTTTAAGATGGTTATCTGCTTTCCTGTACTTCTCTTAAAAATATGTAGTCCCTGAAATTTGTAACATTCAAAAAAAATTCACCGAAAACTCTAGGAGGTGTTACTGCGTGTACTTTTTTTTTTCCTTTTTTTCACAGTGAATTTGTAATTTATCAAAGAGGGAAATTGTATCACTACGACCGTACATCGGATTTGTGCTTACAGAGCAGAGCTTTTTACCCTCTATAATTTATTTCTTCCCCCTTGCATTTTTTATACTGTCCTCATTCTTTGTGGGTTGGTTACTGCAAAGCTGAGATCCCTGCAGAAAGATGCACACAAAATAGTCTCATATGCATCATCGACATTTAGGAAAGGATTCTGGTGAATTCCACCTCTTTTTTGTAGATTAGAAAAGTTACCCCGCTACCCCATGCAGTCCCCAACTATCAGGAATATCTGATTAAAGTCTGCTGTAACCCTGTCTCCTCCATTGTAGAATATGTGGAGAACCTTGGTGATGGGAAGACTGAGGAGTTCAAGGAGAGCGAGCAGAAGAGGATCATGGCTCTACTGGAGAACTTCTAACCGTTCCCAGGCTTTCGTCTGTGCCCACAAGTTGCAGGAGCTAATGCACATACAAGACTGTGGGGCTGGGGACCTATGGGAGGCAAGCACAGTTGGTTAGTTATTGAAAAATAACTACATCCAGCTCGAAAGAACCCATGACATTTTTTTCTTCCTCTTTTGTTTTAAGATTTGTTCACAGTTGAAATGATCAGTTTTTTTTTTCAATTTCAGAATTAAAGAACATTTAAAATAACTTCTTTATTTGTATTGCATTGTGCCAACTTCACTCAAAATCTGCACCACAATGAGCCAGTTGTTTTTAACCTGAGTTTAAATCTGAGAATTTTCAATAACTAAGTAGGACCAGATTTATCTTTAGTTTGTTTTTCCCAAGTGAAAGGCAATATTGGAATGCTGTTATTAAGTTACATTAAAGGTTCTCATTTTCAGTGGTAAAGCAACGTCTTACTACAATGTATTGTCCGGATTTAGCAAAACAAACTAGTCAAGTGATGTTTTTCATTATTTTTCACTATTTCATAATTGACAGTCATGGAAATGTCTTAGAATGGAAAAGTTGAGAAGGTACAGTTGTCTGTTGCTATCTGTGAACTCTAACACGTCCATCTCCCTATGCTGCAAAATGACTGGGCCCTGCTTTTGAATTCCCCTCAGGTTCAGCTGTTACTATTAGAACGCTCAAGTGCTGTCAGCACCTCCTCCATTAGCCAAGTCTGCAAGTTGAGATCACTGGGTTTCTTTCTCGAACAGGCTGTCTCAGACACTTACCTCATGAAAGGTGGATTGCCAGACTTCTCATAACCCCGCCCTCTCCACGTGGGCATCAGCACATCAGATTCAATTTGGGCTGACCCTCTTGGTAGCTCCCGAGGCCCAGAGCTGATACCTGGGAGAAAGTGAAGACTTCTGAAAATGAAAGGAGTATTTAGTTTTCCGCTGGTCCAAGTTTTTGCATAGAAGACTAGGGAGACGGCTGCACCAACCACAGTGGGGAAATTCGGGCTTTAGTAGATTTCGTATGCCTCCGTTGGCCTAGGCCTGTTACATAATCGCAATATTGTAAATGTATTGTGGGTAGTTTTTTGCACAGTCATCAATATGGGCCAGCATCGGTTAGTTCCTGTAATAGCTGGCTTCACTCTGTTAAGCATTTCCGCTGGATCACTGTATAAGTGCAAGATTAAGTTCTACCAGCTTGGTGTCAGGCACCCTCTCTAAGTGGATTTCTGAAGACACAGCTCCTCTCCTTTTTAATCACCTTTAATTGAATACTGATACAAGGCAAATGAGTCTGAGGGTTGAGCTCCCTCACTAATGTGTTCTGTTGTGGCAAGATTATGAGAAATGCGGTACCCAGGAAAAGTATGCACTCCAAGGAGACCTGCGCTTTTGCCTAGCTGCTGTCTCAACAAATTTACACAGACAAATGACTTCACTTGCTGTTAGTTGGAATTTTTGGCTTGTATATGACTTCTTGCCATCTATATATGCTGGCGGGCAACGGGGTTATATATAAAAACATTTCAAAACATGCTGCCTTGCTAACATAGCACAATTCATTACATAGAGTCAGTTTTTGTGGTCTCCTGTCTAAACATGCTGCCATATTGGTCTTCTGATTAAACCCAAAGTAGCATAGGCTAACGTCTAAAAAACACAAGTCACTGAACAATACAAATTTGTCATGGATGTTTTTAGAAGTTTTTAGATGTTTTTTGAGAAGGTGTACAGGACACTTCAGTCTTCAGATTCATTGGTTGTTTTTAATGTGGCCATTTCAGTGACCGAGTTTGACACCCCTGATGCAAATTGTCATGAACTGGTTTTTGTTTGTGCAGTAATGTATCCTCAGACCTGCGTAAGGAACATTATGAATCATTTTTAAAGGAATATCTGCTGTGTGTTTATATCACAGCTGGAAATCAGCTTGGTATTATGTTCCTAAGTTCACCCCCCCATTAATTTGACAGTTCCTCAGTAGTAGTTGTACACTGCAAGGCAAAGAGACAGAACACATGACAAGGACTCTGAACTGTGGTGCCTGCCACTCACTACCCATACAGAATTGTTCTCACTTATGAAATAACTTGCATCAAATTGTAAAAATAATATACACCCCATTACCACAGATAAAACCTTGATAATGACTGTCTTGCAATGCATGATGGGTATGAAAAGGCAGTATTCCAGCTGCCTTTGTAGTGTCATTCAGCACAAATCTCTATGAACTGATGCTGTTATTTTTTTATATTGCAGATTTTGACTATATGTTAATTCATTTTTAGAGAGATTGCTTATAATGCTTGGACCTTAACAGTTATTCTATAGTAATACTCTTCAAGTACAACAGACCATTGATTTCTGGGATCTTAACAGGTATGCTTTTATTCTAGTTACCAAGGAGACCAGATTCTACCAAAATACTGATTAAATCAGAGCTGAATTTATTCTAACGGTTTTAAGAGTTCCTATTGTGATTGTAACAGCTGTGAAATTGCAGTCGTGATGTGGACACTCTGGCGTACTGTCATACTTCTACATGGAGGGTGAATACGTAGGTTCAAGGACAACTTCTCCATAGCGACCCTGTCAAGAGTGCTCGAGTTATCCAAGCGGTAATCATGGTTGTTGGTCACTTCAGCGTGCTCACGGCCTGGTGGCCCATAGCCACCTGCAGTCTAACATCTGCTGCAAGGAACCCCTGAGCTCCTTTGTCTTAATTCTAGGAATGTGTGGCCCGATTTGCCAGCCCAGTTGGCGCCGTTCTGGAGGGCGCAGTACACAACTGTAATCACTGATCATGGCACCTGCATATTAGTGGTGCTTGTACAGCAATTAAACAGCTGAAAGGTCACGGAATAATTTTCTTTCCACATGAATGAATTGGACACAGTACCTTAGTTTTGTTTATCTTCATCCATCCACCATCTAACCACTCATCCTGGTCAGAGTTGTTCTGCGGTTGTTTGTCTAATTGCTATGTAATGATGGAAAAAAAACAATAATGGATCTTGCTACAAATGAATGAGTTTTTCTTGAGACATTTGTGGGATTGTTTTTTATATTGTTTTATAAAATTTTAGCTTACAGAAGGAATATGCTGTCGATCTATAACGTTCTTTTCAACTAATGTTCTATTCATAACCTAAGACAACAGTTCCTACCCCCCACCCCCAATGAAGTGCAACCACAATCTGTCAAACCGCTATAATTTATCACTATCGATTAAATCAGGCCGATTATCCGACAGCTGTTCAGTACCGTGCAGCTGAAAGTACAAATCGTCTCGTAGCCCCTGTTTATATTTGCCTGAGAAGTTTCCCAAACGCGTCTTTTGTAGTGAAACTGAGTTTGTGTCGCATAAAGAAAATGTTATACCTTTAGTGCGATAGGTTATTCTGTAGCTGGTTTTATTTTTCTTGAAGCAATACGCATCGTTTTATGGTGCATTCGGTTGGAAGCATCCTCGCATTTCTTTTATTTGCCCTCTCTTTCCTTCTCTGCCTTAATAGTGCAACTCATTCTGGCGTCTGCATTAACTATGCATGTCTCTGTATGCGCTTTGGCATACTTATTAGTTGACAAGCGATGTATAATCTGTTAATTTTTCGGTGCTTTGAAAATATTTCTCAGGTCAACCATTGAACACTTTCAAAATACCAGAATACGGAGGCTATCAAGATATTGTTCTTAAGACTGCCTATTATTAACAGTTATTTTGATTAATTGCATTTTTTTCTTCACGTAATTCAAATATACAGGATCGTTACTGGAGTGTAAAGTTGAATACACAGTTGGTCACTTAAGTATGTTCTATGTTAGTAAATCTAATATAATCCGAATGTGAAATTATTCGGTGTTCTGAAATGATCTGGTAGTACTTTCAAAATTATTTTAAGGATTTTTTTTTTCAACAGACAAACAATACGGAGCAACTAATGTGCTTCTAGTTTATCAGTTATCAGTTATAATTCGCGACGGAGGGCAATCACAACAGCAGAACAGGCACTATTGAGAATGAATACAGGCTATATTTACACATGTAAATCAAGTATTTCAGGTGTTTCAAGGGTTAATGTTGTCTCCTGCTTTATCTGATGTTTCCAGTCATTTAACGATGATCGTTCTTAATAATCCTTGTTTAAATATACAGTTACAGCTTTAAGAATTACTGCCTTGTAAAACTTTAATGAATAAATCAGTCGCTTAGATCCCTCCGCCTAATTGATATTCCCATTCGCCAGCCGGGGCGCTCCCCCTTTTCCTCTTTCAGAAGGGATCTCCTTCCGCCGCAGTTAGGAAGCCCAAAGCGGCCGCAGCGCGCTGCCTCCAACCAGGCGCTTCTTATGTATAACCTGCGTCTGGAGTGATTCTGCTGTAAATCTGAGGGGAAAAGGAAAGTACCGAGGAAGTCAACTGGATTTTTAAATACCTCCTCCGCCCCATGTGAGAGAGTGGCAAAGAATACTGGAATTTTAAACAGAAACCATGGGATCCTTTGGGGTGATAATAGGAATTTTACATTATATGGGACTCTACGTCCAATTTAGTGCTTCCTCGAGACAAGGTGGACGCGGCGAGATAGAGAACCGTGTCTCTGGAAACGGTAGGTTGGATGCTGTTTCCCTCCAAATTAACACGAACAAAATATATATGTAGTTGCGCAGAGGGTGGTGGAGTGATAGAAACTGCGAAGAGAGGCGCAGAGGCGGGCTGCTCCGTTATTATTTGTATTGCAAAGGTGCGGGGTGCGTATGCTGCATCCTCACCTGGAAATTAGCAGCAATGGAAAGAGAACACGGTTGCCCAGCATCCTGATGAAGCTCAGTCCAGATGCTGATTATTTTTAGTATGTCCCTCACCAATAAGTTCGTTACCTTATAATATTGACTCCAGTTTTATATGGCAATTAAAAACTGCGATAAAGCGTTACCTTTTTGTTAGTACCACATTTAAATAAATTGTACAATTGTGATATATTGGCACTTTTAAAACGATATATTACTTTTAATGTACTAAAGACGGTTATTGACTTTAATTTTATTTTCCGACATAACCCCTGAAACATAATGCAAAGTTGGTTTCAGTATCGGTGTCCCATTGTTTTAACTTGTATAAGTCTTTGCTTTTTTTCGGCTATGAATGTCTTCCAAAATGCAGTAGATCATGATAAACTATTTAAACTTTATCTCGTTAAGGTAATTTGGGTTTTCAGTAAGCTACTCCGTTGTCTGCAGTCGCCCAGACGGTAAAACTCGTGAAATGACGTGACATCACTTCTTAGTTTCTGTGAACGGATGCAGCCGGCACACTGATGACGGAGTAGACACTGGTGTTTTGACAATGCAGTGTATAACGTTTAAAAGGCTTGTTCTATGAGGATCTCAAACTTTCTTTAAAAGCCGCAGGCGTTCATATAAAGTCGAATCCAGCTGGCATAGGGCTGAATGAAGAACGTATATAAACTTGGGATTAATTGCTTATTACGAGTTAATCATCGTGAGATTGTTCTCGTAACGACACACCAGAGAATATTAATTCGGAATGGTATGTTTGGCATGCTAATACAGAAATAATTGAAAATCGGAAATCAATAATTAAACTCCCCGATTGCATTTTATTTTATTGCTACGCATCATACATTTCATTAAAAAGTTATCAGTTGCCATATACTGTTTTCGTGTTAAATGCTGTTTTGTATTGTAATGCATGCGGTCATATCTGTAATGCTGTTGTTTTAATTTTAGTTATATATTTTGCTATACAATGAGCATTTGCGTTTGCATTTGCAAAGGTATAGAGACAGGGGAGATTGGGCTGAGTTGGGAGTGAGTTTGACTGGAGTGGAGATAAATGTCCAAAGCCACTTTTTAGTTGGAAACTAAATAAAGATTATTTACTATGACTGTAGCTCCTCTTCTTCATCCACAGCTATGACCGTAGCTCATCTTCTTCATCCATAACTCTGGAAACTGGGCCAAGCCTTGTAAAACCTAATAATAAGACCTAAAACTTAGGGTTACAGAGGGGTGGTAGCAAGTTAAATTTTTTCTGGCATTTATTTTTTACCAAGTTTCTTGAAGTTTCAAACAGCTAATGTCTCACTACAATAGCAGTTGTCCCAGTGCCTCATGAAGAAGGTAACATGGTGAGTTGACTGGTGTAAAATATTTTTGTCACCGCTGGACTGATTAACTGAAACAACTGGTACCATTTCTGTTGCTATTTCCACATGGAATGGTGTTAGCAAGTTAACAAATATGTTGGACTCTGTGTCAGGTGGTGATTCCCCCCCCCCCCCCCCCCATTTGAATTCGATAAGACCATCCTCCCTCCCAGTTTCCCATTGTCAGTCGGTGCAGAAACCTCCACTGACCATACTAATGCTCTGAGAGTGATTCATAACAAAGTAAAACTACCTTAGCTTTCATGACGATGGAAAAGATGAAGAAAGTTTTTCATTGTGGAAAGCTAGATTGGAACTTGATGTTAAGGCCCTGTAAGGGTACTCAGCCTGAAAATGTAGCCACTATTCTTCCCACAAGTCTAAGCATGGATACTCTGGCATATTAGTTGTTTTTACCACCAGCTGTACAACAGAAATATGAGCTGAGTATAACAAATTCAATGATGTTTTTGGGAGGAAACCGTTTTTGATGCATTTTCAAATTTCTGTTAATGCAAGATTGTGTATGCCTAAAGAGCCATTAGAAATTTTTGTTGCTGAGATCATGCGACTGGTGCTAGAAGCTTTTCCAAGTTATGGTGAACCTGTTTTTGCCATGGAATGTTTTTGGTGATTCATTCCTGGTTTGGATCCTGTCTTTCAAACTAAGTTCCATGAACAGGGTCCCACCCTATTGTCCATGGGAAGGTACTCAGGAGGCAGTTTCTGCCATGGTATCTACGATGCACCATACTTCTCGCACAGACCAGTCTCCTGGACTTTTGAAACATCAAACAGTTATTGACCTAGGAGAAAAGCACTTGAAACTTTGAAAATGGACAGTTCTGATGCTGTTCAGCTCACAGACCGGCCCTTTGAAATGCATTGCTGTGACTCTAGTGATTGTTTCTTTATTAGTCAAAATCCAGTGGCTGTAGGTGAGCCAGATCATACCTCTAATTGCACTTGTGTCATAGAGCCTAAGACTCACAATATATCGGATATTGGGTCCCTTGGTAGCATGCACCTTGACTCTTGTCAAGAAAGGTGTAGCATGTGTGCATGTGATGAACCCTACAAATGACCGTTGCTGGTTCAGACCCATGGATCTATCAAGCTGTTATTGGAAGGTTGAGCTAGATCCATCTAGGACAAAGCAAAGATTGCTTTTATGATTGAGTCTGTCTTATGCTACTTTAAAGTCTTACCAATGGGGCTAACAAATGCTCCACCAACCTTTCAGAGATTGATGGAGCTGGTTCTCCATGGCCTCCATTGGAATGGCTTAATTTACCTTGATAATGTGCTTGTATTTAGACTTTTTCTAATCACTTGGAAAGCCTTAAAGAGTTCTTCAATCATTTATGTTCCACTGGCTTCAAGCTCAAAGCCATTTTGCTTGTAGACAGGTAATCCTTTTGGGACATGATGTTTCCAGCCAAGGGTACCAACCCAATGCAAAGAATTTGTAGTACCTAGGTCTGTGATTAGCCTACCCTGGGATACACTGCATAAGTGAGGCCTCCTTCATGCCTTCACACAACAGGGTGTCCTGTTTCTCTGGACCGCTGAATGTGAGGATGCTTTCAGTCATTAAAGCCTACCTTCACCATTCTTCCTGTTGTAGCACACCCCATCTTTTCACAGCCTCTTTTGCTATATTTGGAGCCCTCACAAAATTGCATAAGGGCTATCCATTCATCAGTCCATTTTCTGTTCTTGCTAGTCCCATTTAGGGTCACAAGGGGTCTGGGGCCTGTCCCAGAGGCTATGGGATCAAGGCAGGAAACTACCTAGAATGGGGTGCCAACTCATTGCAGGTCACACTCACACTACAGTTGCAAAGGGATGGAAAATTTCCAGACACTTTCCATGGAAAGCAGGGTTGCAAAGAGCTGGAAAATTTCCGGTATATTTCTGCAAACTTTTCAGAGACTTTCCATGGGAAGTAAGTTGCAAAGTGGTGGAAAATTTACAGAAACTTTCCATGGGAAGTTAAGCTGGGGAACTTTGGAAATATTGAATTCTGTGGAACTCCGCAAAAGCTGTTAGGTACAGCAAAGAAATGCAACTGTATAAATAATACAATATAGAATATGGCTTATAAGCAGTGCATTTTGATGCAGATTATTATTTTGGGGTGTTTCTACGCATACATACTCACAAGCACTTGGTTACACAGTGATATCACTATTAGTGCCATCAAGATGTTTTTTTTCTTAACTTGACCAACTCGGACATCAATGGAGTCTGTTACTTGTACCTTGACCAAAATCTTGGAAGTCAATTGTTCTTGATTAAACTTGTATTGGTCAAAACACATTAAACTCTACCAATTTGGTAGAAAAAAATCTAGCCACAACTCAACCGAAATCTTGGAACACGACAAAACAAAGCAGACCTACTAAAACTTGTACGGATCAAGACCAAAGCATGTGAGTGGAGTGGGAGAGGAAGGTTTTCGGCCAGAGCGGGAACAAGCGTGGAGCATCATGTTTGGAAAAATAAACTTGAGCATCACCAGCTCACATCTTGAAATCATTTCTGCTTGAATATGGATTTGGCTGCTCCGTTAGCAAGGCTACAGTTTAAACTAAAATTAAAATACAATTCAGATTGTTTCTTTTGTAGAGTGAGCAGTAAGTGATTTCATTGGAGCGGGGTTAAAATTGACTGGAGCTGCTCTGAGCAGGGAAGCGGGGGGAGCATACTGCTCCATGAGTGATGAGCGGAAATTGTCATCACGCCGCTCTGCTCACATGCTCTGATCGAGACACGTATCCCCTGCCAAACTTAAATGCCTCCATTCCTCCTCCTCTCCACCTGCCTCTTCCATTATGCCATCAGCTCACCTCGATACAGGTAAAGTGCTCATAAATTGTCATTTATTTCATGTTTACTGCTTTTGTACATGTGCTTTTTCATGTATAGTAGATTTATATAGATTTTTAATGCTTTGTATCATTAGTTAGGTAGGTTGATAGGTTTAAATAGGCAATCATTTGGGTGCCTGGAACGGATCAAATTCATTTATATTATTGCTTATGGGTAATTTCACCTTAGACCTTCGACCAAAATGTAATTCGTCTAGTCTTATGGAATGAATTAAGTTAATGTTCCAAGGTACCACTGTATTCCCATTAATTCCCATATATTACTATTAATTTCCATGGAATGTTTCCAACTTTGAAAATTCCTAAAATTTTGCAGCCCTACAACACAACATTCATTCACACATGCACACCTATGCACAATTTGGTAACACATGTGGTCTACACTTCACCAAATTCAAGAGCAGAATGAGTGAGTTATAGCTTATGCAAGTCATGTACTCACTGCATCACAGCAAATGCAACAGTGCCCTCTGCATGGTCACGATTGGATAAAGGACAGTAAATACAGGCCACCCCTAGGAAAAAAATTCATCAGCACCAGTGAGA